ACGATAACCAGACCGTGAACGTTAAGCAGACCATGAACGATAACCAGACCGTGAACGTTAACCAGACCGTGAACAATAACCAGACCGAACGTTAACCAGACCGTGAACGATGACAAGACCGTAAACGTTAACCAGAGCGTGAACGATAACCTGACCGTGAACAATAACCAGACCGAATGTTGACCAGACCGTGAACGATAACCATTACCCTATAGAGACGGCCGTAATAGAAGACACACAATATTATAAAGAGGAAGTAAAAATGTCTTCTACAAAGATGTGTGATGTAGTTATAGTGAAACTTGTTTAAATCGAACACCACCAGTACCTATGTTTCTGGTAGGTTTAGACATTTAAATTGATGACAAAGGCTTGGCATAAATCGTTTGAAACATGTTACCATGTTTATACTGTTTACACGCAATCGTCTATATCATAATAATATCTCTAAGCTGCATATGTTTTTGTAGCGAGCAAGACTCTCGACATGACTACCGGAAGAAACATGTGGATCACGTTGAGCTTTCTGGTGCTGGTGGGAAACCTTGTGATGTGTTCAGAGGTCAACATAAACAAGAATGACGGAAGATCAGACATAGCTCGTCGATGGTCAGATGTGTCTACGTCCTGGGGTGGTAACCATGGAAACGTTTTAAGTTCTGGGTCTGGAGTTTCTCAGTATCCGAAATACACCGTACCCGAATACATGCTACATCCAATTCCGAAGAACAACGGAAAGCAGCCACGACCTACTGGAAAGGCTATGACATTGGGAAGCCATGGGCGTGTACTTCATCCGACTAGATCCGCCTGGCAGACGATAAACAGTGATATATTTCCTTCTTCCAACAGTCATTTTACAGGAATAAGTAGAAATAATTTAATGACTTCTTCATGGAAAACACCTGCGTATTCACTCGGAACGAACAAACAGCCAATTGCAGACAACGGAATATCGGGGGTTAACTATTGCAGACCTTGTGCATGTGAGAAGTCAGTAAGGAGTCACGTGACTCAAAATTCCCGCGAGAGGTTTGAGACAGGCATGAGAAATCAGAAGTTTGGTTTTCAAATCAATCAGCCATTAACATCATCTTTGAAATTAGGTTCATCCCTGGATCAACAGGTGCCATTATATTACGAGATAGGGAAGCAAGGCTTCGGCTCAAATTCGGAAACTAGCACTCACAGTTCTGGTGAGGTCACAAGGTAGTCGTTGTAGATGGCAGCACTATCGATTTACTTTGTATTATAAAAAGTGGAAAATTGCGCGGAGTGGAAATACTGTGTGCTTTCGTGTCGAGTAAATTAGCGCGAAAATAACCACACGCAAATATATCTATAGATTGTATAGTTGTTTTTGTTTTGTTTTAAAGCTTATCGACAATGTTAGTCATTTAGGGCCAAACAACGCTGTGAAAACAGACATTCACAAAAAGAAGGTTGTAAAAGATGTAAAATTAAAATTAATAACAAACGAATGAATTGCAAAATAAATCATGATGTACTGTTAAGATCGATTGAGTGTGAATTATCAGATATACATATAGTTTAGATATATACAATGCATATTAATTTCATAATCATTGTCAACGCGAAAATTTCCGCATCGCTGACAGTTTAAAAAGTTATAAGGCGAACATTTCCAATTTTACGGTACTTTGACCAAGCTCCATTTTCATTATTCCAATATAACTACTCTTTCCTGTATAAATACAGACTGTGTGACCATATAATGCAATAATGTTTTTAAGATGTGTAATATCTTCGTTGGCATGCAGGAAAGAAACTGGAGATATCAAACATTTCGTTTACCTTCAGCATATCAATGCTTTTCTAAAAATAAAATTTGTTATGAAGGTACGCCTCATCTTTTCTGTCAATATGCTACAGCCTTGCTGTTAGGATCCGGATGAACTACTTCGCTACCACTAAAACACTTGCTGTTAGGATCCTGATGAACTATTTTCGCTTCCACTAAAACACTTGCTGCTAGGATCCTGATTAACTACTTTCGCTACCACTAAAACACTTGCTGCTAGGATCCTGGTGAGCTACTTTCGCTTCCACTAAAACACTTGCTGCTAGGATACTGATGAACTACTTTCGCTTCCACTAAAACACTTGCTGCTAGGATCCTGATTAACTATTTTCGCTACCACTAAAACACTTGCTGTTAGGATCCTGATGAACTATTTTCGCTTCCACTAAAACACTTGTTGCTAGGATCCTGATGAACTACTTTCGCTACCACTAAAACAATTGCTGTTAGGATACTGATGAACTTTTTTCGCTACCACTGAAACACTTGCTGTTAGGATCCTGATGAACTACTTTCGCTACCACTAAAACACTTGCTGCTAGGATACTGATGAACTACTTTCGCTACCACTAAAACACTTGCTGCTAGGTTACTGATGAACTACTTTCGCTACCCCTAAACACTTGCTGTTTGATGGAATCCTCACAGGAACTACTTTTATTTCGTGGTGTTTGTTTGCTTGAGTTTAACGGCCCATCCACAACAATGGTCATTTACGGCCAATACAACTTTTTACTATTGGGCAACCATTCGAGGAATCACATTTAAATCGTATAAAGCGTCGTATATCTTATAAAATCAACAGCAGGATAGGCTTGAGAGAGTAACAATAGTACAATGGGGAAAAATATGATATTTTTAAAAATATCGTGTAAAGATTGAAATGGAAAGAGATATGTATGAATGCCATGAAAAAAGAGTCATGTAGGTAAATGGAATCACAGTAAAGATGGAATCATGCTAAATTGCCCCTTTTAGGTCCCTCTCTGTTCTCCATTAGACATAAATAACCTTCATTTATAAACAAAACTATCCCTCTATACTGGTGGTATTAAAAAATTAAGAAATTTGTTTAAAATCTATGAAACCCTTGATGAGGTATGGACTTTTATGACCAAAATACACATCTTACTCATTTCATGTCCTTGAGGCCATTCTATTTCCCCTAAGATTGTTAAAACCTGCATTTATGAACAAAATAATTCCTCTATTATCGTGGAATTAAAAAATAAATTTGGTTAAAAGCTATGAAACCCTTGATGGAGATGGAGTTTTACGACAAAACACACAAATTACTCATTGTCATGCCTTTTCGGCCTGTCACTTTTCCCCTTAGATAGTTAAAACCTTCATTTATAGACAAACATATTCCTCTATTCTTGTGGTATTAAATAATTAATTTGGTTAAAATCTATGAAACCCTTGATGAAGTATGGACTTTAATGACCAAAATACCAAAATTACTAATTTTTATGCCACACAGCTCTTTCCTCTGTTGGTGCCATAGTCTCCAACATTAAGTCAATATTTGATTGTTGACCACTGTGCAAAACCCTTTCATGCCAGAAATGAGTAAAAAAAATGATATTTGATAAAACTTAGGAGGTAGTCGAGAAGAAGTTCCAACAGAAGTGGGTGTGGCTAGTAAATGATCAACATAAAATATCATATGTTAGAAAGACTAAATTTTAGAACATTTTAAATGCGAAATTTTGATTGAAACGAGTTTCTTCTTTCTTATTCTGTCACTTAAACAGCAACAAATGTGAATTTTTTTTTGGTTTGTTGATTTTGTTTAAAGTCCTATTAACAGCTTTGGTCATTTGAGGACGTGTCTCCATGTGTGTTGTATATACGTGCTTGCATGTGTGTATGCCAAAAACTGGTATGTTGGTGTATTTGCCTCCCTGTGCCGACTTCCGGTGCTAATCACTGAAATACTATGCATAAGGCACCCAGCACAGCAGATCCGCACTATCACAAGGAGGCAAGCACACACACATACCCTGTCTCCTACAAACACACACGCAAGCACGCATACACTACACATACGGAGGCACGTCCTTAAAATGACCTTAGCTGTTAATAGGACGTTAAACAAAATCATAACCAAGCCTACTTGTGATAGCACGGGTGGTGCAGTGGATAGTGCACTTGCCTTTCACCAAGGCGGCCGGGGTTCGTTTCCCCGATCGGACGTGAAAAGGTTGGGGTCACCTGCCCGACCACGTGGGTTTTCTCCGGGTACTCCGGTTTCCTCCCACACTAAGACCCCCACGCGCTAACATCCGGGCCAACAAGAGTGATTAATATAAGTTGAAATAACTTGTTTCATAATTGTTGTTAAATAAATAAAGTTTATATTTAGCACGGATCTGGAAGCAGTTCTACACGTAAAAGGTTATTTGTTGAAATATAGATACGACGTAGCCACGTGTAACATATCCTATTAAAGGTTATTGTACAAGCTATTTAGAAGTTCAAGCGGGCTGTGGTTTTTGATTTCGATAAATATATCCAGTTAAAGGCACATGCTGTGAAATAATGGAACATCGGTGAAAGGGGTGCTGCAGTCACACTTCCGACCCAGCTGAGTTTTAAGTAATTTATTTTAATTGATTTACATGAAACATATTTAATTTATGGTAGACCAATTTCGCCGTCTATATGACATCTCCTTTGCACCCTTTAGCAGCAACAGACAGTAGATTAGCATTTCATAGTAAATAGTGCAAGCTTTAGTGAATAAAATATGTGTTAATAGATTATTACGCGTCTGTTATTGATTTGTATATCTTGTACTGTTTAATTGGTACATTTATGATATACTTGAAGTTACCTCTCTGCACTGACGATATTAGGACTCTAGGTGAATAACAAATGAATTTATTTCACAAAGATTTAATTGAATATTGAATACAAAATCAAAAGGAATTTGGAAACATGCGTAATCCCTATACAAGCCCTCTCCTGGTATGGACAATGCACTTTAATGTACTAAATGTGAAATATTTTAGAAGCTTTCTACATCGAGAATAAAAAATGGATGCATCTTTAATAAACTTTAAAATAGTGATAAGATTTTAATTTGAGACAACAATGGCTTGAACTACATTCAATTGGCCTTTTACAGGTTAGATAGCATTTCACTACTGATAAGCGGGTGAGAAATACTCAGCTGTCTGGTAATATAAAATGCCCGTTTAGTAGGTTAGGGCATAGTTCCTGCCGACCATTCTAACAATGAAGATCCTGGGATTCTTATGCTTGGTGACTATAGCAGGTAAGTTGTAAACAGAACGATAAGTCTGAAACAGATTAATGTAATGTCTCAATGACATTCTGAAAATATCTATATACATATGGGAAAGTGAAGCAAGCAGTTTTTTTGGAAACATTTTCAATCTCGCTGTATTGTCTCTGAACAAACATATCGACTCAGAATGATGTTAGGAATGGATAACAACAAAACAGGAGTGTGTTTCCGATTGGAAATTGTCACCAGTAGTCGGAGACAAATCATGTTAAGACGTCAAATTCCTGCTTTGACGGGAACCCTTTAGTAGTGGCTGATTACCATTTGTCAATCACTGTCAAAAAGTTCTGCTGTATTATTTTTTTTAACTTTACCGGACAGGCATATTTCTAAATATGCAGTCTCATCATCGATATTGAATGCCAAAATCCTAAAAAGAAGAAAAGAAATAGACAGGATATTAATATATGTAATAACAAAAGTTTATCTCTTGTTTGGAAGGGCATAAAACATGCAACATATTTGATTTTATATGAATTCTTCTGACGAAAAGATGTTGATCAAACATGTGTGATGTATCACTATTTATCGTTTACAAGGGCGTTGTAGGCAATAACGTTAGCAAATTGAAGGCAATCGCAATGTGCCGAGGAGTACATATGAACATGTAACATTTTGTTTAATGAATACAATTATATTTAATTCATTTATCATTAATTTATGAACAATTCAATAACAAAAGACACTAATTGATCATCCTTACAATTATTTCTATCAATATATTTTACAGGATGTACGAGTTTGCCTGCTCATGTTTTCTCTGAACTGCATAGTCCGGCAGAGCTAAAGGTAAACATGGCACATATCTAAACGTCAACATAGCTCGATTAGGGGCACACAAATGTTTTCAAAGGGATTGAACTGCGTTTGTTTTAAATTGTCATACCGGCATGAAAATTTAAAAAACACCGTTCAATCCATATATTATTTTTTTACTATAGAACAATTGTTTAATTTTAATTCGTTTGTTCTTAAATAGTTTATTTATTTACTACGTTTTGTATATGCGTCATCCTTTAAACGGCATTGGCGGAACAGCCCTGTTTAACTAAAATTAGCGCCAATATTTAACCTTAGTCATTTGGGCGTTTGGCGCAGGTGCATTCTCCATGTTATCTGAAGCGAAGCGACAAAACTCTCATTGAACAAGGTTAATCTATGACGCAATGAGTAAACCACGTTTTACGTCACAAGAGTTTTTGCTTTCATACTCAAATGAAATGCATTTCTACTGGTTATGTTCATAAAGTCGGTTGCAGCGCAAATGTGAATATATGGATATGATTGCTATGCAGGAAATCCTTTTCCCATGAAGCTGCAAATCAATAAATTTGAAGCAGCATTTTATAAGTCCTACCAAGTGACGTGGTCAACGAGTCTTTTCAATTTTAATAAAAAAAAAATGCATCATATGTCCACTCCTAATAACGTAAATGACATTTCAAGGAAATGTCTTTGTAATCGACATATTGTTCTAGTCAATAACATTATTCTAATCAATAACACTCTTGTCAATAGCATTATCAAGTCGATAACATTTTTCTAGTCGATAACATTTTCAGTCGATATAAATTGATCGATAGTATTCCAGATTCGAACCCTGAACTTCAGACTGCTTAACTATCGCTCTAGTCGATATCTGAAAGACGGAGGTATTCTGGCCTAAATGTTCTATAGTTATCTCCAAATGGAAGTTAAGGGGAGTTATAACATATAGGGGAAAAAACTACAGTGCAGTGGGACAGGGATCCTTGAGCCGAGATAAATAATCCTAATAATGAAAAACAGAGAATACTGAAGTGTCAAATTCCGTCTTTGCGTATTGCAGAGTTATCGTCTCTTGTGAGCAGGTATTGATTGTTACGTCATTGGTTTGTGTGAGAAAATCACGTCGTTTTATCAAAAAATGATGACGTAACAATCAATACCTGCTCATAAGAGCATATAACTTTGCAATACGAAAAGACGGCTACCAATAGTTCGCACTCAAAGGAGACCATTGAAAAAGTATAATAAATAAATAAAAAGAATAGGACCAAGCGTTCCGGAAGGGTTAGTGCATTTTACTTTATTTAGGACGCCCGTCATGTAAATGGGGGTCCAATCCACCTAATGTATCGTTTAAACGATAAAAAAATTATCGATTTTGGTGCAATCAAGTTCAGCCTGGCATCAATTCATTAATGCAGTTATTGGTTGATTAATTTGTCATAAACCAAGGGGAATGCCGCATTTGATTGTTTTTATGAAAGGTTAACATGGGGTAGGTAGAATTTCCAAAGTCACATGTTAAGTATCGCGTATGACCACTGTTTGCTCCAAAAAACAGCATTGCAGCGTCGTCGCATTGAGCTTGTGAACGGACGCGTTATGTGAGCGTGGGTGTTTTCTCACTCATCGGTCAACACTGGGGCCACTGGGGGTGTCAACCTTTCTTGTTTTGGAGAGCATATGTAAACATTGTAAACAAACGAGTCACAACCGACTAACAACTCTATACAAATACATTTCAAATACAGTACATACGTTTTAGCTTCAATTGATAAGTTTCCTCATCCAGGCAAGTAATGTCAAAGTATGTCACACGAGTGAACTACTCCCATTGTGTTTATTTTAATGCCGGATTAAACACCATTGCGGTTATTGTTGTAGGCGTACAACAACTTCTGGATTGTGAATGGAGAGAACGCTTCCATCGCCGACTTCCCATGGCAAGCTTCTCTTCAGAGCGCGGATTCCCATAACTGTGGAGCAGTAGTCATTTCAGCTCGAAAGGCCGTTACCGCAGGGCACTGTATTTCGCCTGGGTAAGACAGTACATACACGGGTAGTCGGTTTGGTATTGGGACACTCGGTAACCGCCATATGATATCTTTCTCCCATATATGTCGGTGCTCACTGTGTTTAACGTTAATCACTGCGTCCGAAGGTAGGGGAAGTTGTCAGGCGAATCATTATTGGGACCCCTTTGTAGCTATCAAATTTCAATCTCACTGCAGGTACAAAATGACGACAATGAAGATAACAACCAAAGTAATCTTATTCTGATTTGAACGTGACAAACGTTTTCTCAACAATCGGCGCTTTAAGCTCATAGAGGGCAAATGTAGTCAATAATACAATGAAGTTATAGTGGTTATATTTATAGATGCATATTCAAATAAGACAATGTATTTTACCATAAATAGCTTTGACATTAATATATGTAAAAAATGAAATCTTTGAAAAACGTTTCATCGGTTCAGGGAATGTTGAATTAAAGGTGACTCCTTCAGACGCCTAGAATGTACAAAATGGTCAGCACATCACTAACTCTCCCAATAAATGCCTCAACATTATAATTGTCAACAGCCGGTGGTGATCTAACACTGCACACGTACATTGTTCAAAAACAAATGACAGCCTTCTACCATATACATTGATAGTCACTTTGTCCCGAGGTAAAACAATAAGCATCTCAAGTATCAATGAATAGTAGATTGGATATATTCTTTAGAATAATATTGGCAGTAATAACGATAATTAATTGATGAATATCTCTATTACAGACTGAAAATTCGAGTGGGGTCAGATAACCACTTTGAGGGTGGCAAGGTCTTCGACGTCAGCAAGTCTACTGTGGTAAGTTGTCATGTCCTCGACCTACGTTGGACAATTATCATTATCACGTGCATGTTTTTGCTACAAGGAAACGTGATCGGTCGATGATTTTAAGTACGTGCCTATGCAACGAAATGTAGCTGGTCTGCGTCGTTGCTGATTAAATTAAAACAAATGTTAACTCTATTGTGACACCTTAGAGCAGACAACCTTGTTTGGAGAACAGATACTTGCTATTTAATAAAAGGAATTGCATATTACTAAGTATTATTTTGATTGATACATATATAATTTTGTATCCCCAAAAATATCGATTTACGTCCTTGGTTGATGTTTTCATTGGTAGGTGCAATAAGATCATGGTTCAAACTCATCAATATTCCATAGTTATAGATTGTTTATTAATTTCTACATGTATCATGCATGGACGTAAACTCTGATGCTATTTAATTGCCCACTTTCTTTTCTGTGTAACTAATATTGTTAGTTTTGTTATCGCTTCTGTCACGCATGCAGTGTCGGTATTGGAATAAATCCTAGTGTTTGTCACTAGTATATAATTGGCAAAAATCACCATAAACTACATTAAAGGGTCAATGATATATAAATCGCCATTTAAGCAACCATTGTAAGTAAATGGAAAGATAAAGATAAACAATATTAGCCTACACGTAAACAAACCGACCATGTTGTAAAAGTTATCACTGAAATTGTGGGTAGACCATCAACTTTGTGAAGTTTGGTCGGACGTACGAGTTCATAGCGGAGGATACCCTGAGTTAACAAAACGGAATTGACATGATATTGTTACTTGTTTTCTTGGGATAATTTCTTTTTGCGGACGGATGGAACCGGAAGGTTGCAGAGGCCAATACGAAGCTAGATTATTTCTGCCAATTGATCATTGAAATCGAAATTAAATTAATACTCGAAATCGAAGAAGGAAAAACAATCAACCATCAATAACACTTCAAAAGTAAAGAGATATCCTGTAGCTCACGTGATGAAGAAGTTACTCGTGATTGACTACGAAGAACCAACGAGGAACACCGGATTGAGATGAACAGAAAATTGGCGGAAAGCTGGAACTACGTACGAGTCGAATATTACCGATGCTAGTAAACAGAAGATGACGGAAAGTAATGCGAGATTTACGGGTTATGAACGGGGGTAACGGGAGAAAGCCGAAGCCGAAAACTGTAGGAACGAAAACTTCTCAAATGATACAAGCAGACAACTCAAGCTGCTGAACCAGATCTACTCACGTACAGAACCGGAGAAAGTCAAAGAGCTAGAATCAACGGGAAGAAGTTACAAATCGAACTGACCGACATCATGGCCAACATCCGAATCGAGGCGGAGCTACGGGAAGTCTGGGGAAAATGGCGTGACGTCACAGGTGCAAAGATGAAGACCAGACATCGGAGCCAATGCTAGTGGTTACAAATCACAAGCGGAGGTATTGCTGACAACAGACTTCGAGGAAATAGACGGAACAGAAGACTTGTGTGACAGGTTGTGAACTGAACTAAAACTTTTATATTAGGAACTACATAAATACGTCCGTATTAAACAGAAGGACTTCTACGGGGATGACGTCACGATCCCAGACGAGGGTCCATACCCGCCGACCTACTTGGGAACATGTGGGCACAGGAATTTGTAGGGATTTTCGATATTGTCAAACCGTACGATATACAAAAACAAAAACTACGATGAGGTGCTGAAAGAGTAGGGGTACACACGGAGGAAGACGTTCGAGAAGGCGGAAGAATTATATGTGTCTTTAGGACTACCGAAAATGACGGGGAAATTCTTGAAGAATTCTATAAAAGAAAAACCAACCGACCGTAGTCTAGTTTGTCATGCTTCTGCTTGGGGATTTTATGAGGATGGCGCTTTCCGGATTAAGATGTGTACAAACATAACGATGGACTAATTTGAGACGATTCACCACGAGATGGGTCACATGCAGTACTATATGGCGTATGAGGATCAGCCGGTCATTTACCGACGGGGCACCAACGAGGGATTTTACACCAACGTTGTCCGGACACCCTAACATCTGTCTGAATTAATTGGAGTAGTATGCGCTAGTCCGGACGTGGACACACAGAAGGTTGATCTGAAGTACTTAATGAAGAAAGCACTCCTCAAGGTTGCCTTTTTGCCGTTTGGTTTACCGATCGACAAGTACCGGTGGGCGGTGTTTAGTGGGTCCATCAAACATTATGCATACAACACAGAGTGGTGAAAGATGAGGACGGAGTACCAGATGCTATCCCCTCCTTCACAACGAAGGGAGGAGTACCTTGGCCCGGGTGCAAAATTCCACGTAGCCTCCAGCGTCTCCTACATCCGGGTATTTCATTAGTTTCGTGGTGAAGTTCCAGTTCTACGAGTCCATGTGTAAAGCCGCTGGTCATGGAGACAAGCCGCTGCACCAATGTGACTTTTACAGAAACAAGGAGACCGACCCAAAACTACATGAGACTCGGGGGAAGTAAACTATGGCCCGAGGCGCTGAGGAAGATGACAGGTGAACTGGATATTAGCGCTGGGTCGATCATGCGGTACTTTCAGCCTCTGCTGGACTGGAGGAAAGTTGAGAACAGAAAAATTGACGAACAAAATAATTTGAAAAACCTGCAATGATACTGTTACATCATCTGTAATGTTTATTTGGCTGTTAAAAAATAAAATAGATAAAGTATACGTGTCTACCATTTTCGTCTGAGGCTGTTAATACAAATATTTGATTATGCCAAACCTAATTCATTATAGGGAATAATTTCTGAAATACTACAATTACAATCGTTATGCAAATATATGACATGACCTGTTAATATAGAGTTAACAGTATTTATTTCGACAAAACAACCACGTAGACATATTTACGTTGACAGTTATTTCAAAAATTACTCCCGGTATTTTCTTGCTTCATGCCAAACTTCTTGCCATGCGTCTTTAGTCAAACAATTAAGGAAATAATAAACAAGTTCAAATGTTTTGTATCAAATAGAACGCAAAAAGGGGGCTTGAGAAACTTATTGAGAACAAGTGTGTTGATATTAAGCCCTATGGTAAAATAACATTACGTGAAGAGAAAGCTTCTGACACGTGACTGTATCTTATTAGCACCCTGATTATGGTACTGGGGCCGGAACCTTCCCCAACGACATAGCAGTGCTGGATTTTGACGAAGATATCACAGGTGACGGAGTTAAAGCTGTCGAAATGCCCACAAGTAGCAGTGGGGACTTCGCTGGACAGGAGTGCACCATCACTGGATGGGGCCGAACATCTGGAGGGGCACGTAAGTATCTAAATAAAATACTGTAAGAAAACTGATTTTCCGGACACATATTTTAGCGATTACCTTAGGGATTACGACTCTGCATTTCATATGCAGAGAACTGGTACATTGTTTGTAGTATGCCCACATAGATCTACTGTAAAACGGATCGTACAGATTTGTGAAGAAGGGTGCCGAGGAGACAACACCGAAAAGACAGACTAAGAAATGAAAGATCCTAAGTCCATGGGGACAACAATATCCTTATAGTAGAAGACACGGAATACACTCCTTATTCTGCATGTCTATCATATGAAGAGCGATACGACAGGACTTATTTAGCCTGACCCTGCACAGAATACAAAGGACTGTATATTGAAAGAGGGATGTCTTACCTTCGCTTTCTTCTTACAGTCGAATCAATGAAAACAAAATAAATACATGTTATATTTGTGTATTTACATGATTTGATTAAACAATAATTGCGTGTTCCAGCCTTACCTGACGTGCTTCAGAAAGCCAAAACCACTGTGCTTAGTGAAGCAGATTGTGAGGCCGAATGGGGAGCAGACAGCATCAATGCCGGGCATGTGTGTGTTTTTAACAAGGAGACCGGTTCATGCAATGTAAGTTATTATCTTCGCATGAACAAGGGCATCGATACATCATAAATAAAAAGAGAAGTAAAAATAACAAGATAGTATATTCCTGCTTTAATAGCAACACGAGCATTGACTGTATTTTTATGGTTTTGAAATTGCGTGATTAAACAAACAATTGTATTATATAGCCTAAACTACTTATTGTATCAAGACATTTTCACCAGGTATGTGGTAAGATAGACTACCTGTACAAAGTAATAAAGTGGTAAGACTCTCTATTGAAAATAACTTATATCCCACAAACTTGCTGTCCAAAATGAATTAGGACATTGTCGATATTCTTTACGTAGGGAGACAGTGGTGGACCGCTGACCTGTAACGGGGTGCTGGTGGGAGTGACGTCATGGGGCGCAGTGGGTTGTCCGGTGTCATCACCTAGTGTGTACACAAGAATCACACACTTTCTTCAATTCATTGCCGATTCATAGGCGTTTTGGATTTTGTACAAATATAGTTACATTTATGACAATAAAGAAACACAAAGAGAAGCATCGTGAAGATGGTGTTTGAACAGAATGGAACCATATCTCTGAAAAATTTAATTAACATTAGTTGCTCTTGTTTGAGAAAAACCAAATATATTCTTTTAAAAAAAAGAAGAGAATACAGTACCAAGGTGACATCAAAGCATCAATTTCATCGAAATATGAAAAAAGGTGGATTAAAAGTATAGGGAGAATAAGACAAAGAATGCCGGAAGGGTTAAAGCGTCTTTTACTCTATCTACAACGCCTGCAATATAAACATCCAAGCAATGTCATGTCCCCATAGCGAAAACTGGGGTAGTGACAAAAACAGAAACGACAAAACACAAACAAGATGATAATCAATGACCTGGATAGCTAAGCTGGTTGGGGCTTTGTGCTCTTGGTAGGGTCACCCAAACCAAACAGGTTGGAAGGTAGAGGTCAGACCAAGCAGCACCGTCCTTTGGCCGGGACGCAAATGCTAGGTTTGCACCGTTGTGCATACCTTTCTGGGGGGTTGGTATACAGGTGTCCGCCTTCGGGCCAGCCATTTTGTGCATTTCTCTGGAATGGTCGGGCTGTGGTAAATCCCCAGACTCCCATGTAAATAGTGCAGATTTTGTTTCTCTCCGTTCTTTCTCCTTTTTCACACCTTTAAAATTTAATTAAGCATTTGTTTTTGACGACCATTTGTTGGCCCTAATGACCTATCCTGTGTTGATGGGCAGTTAAGCATTTATAATAATAATAATAACTTGATCGTGAAAATATGATCCAATAAAACAATATGACAAGCGTAAAAGTGAGCCGAGATAATACACTTTATAACGGTTATGTTGTCATCAAATGGCGCGTATGTGGTTGATTCTTGTACACTTTGATAAATGCTATGTTAAAATAGGTTATATCACATCAAATAGCTCTGTTTATGTTGTTTTTAACAAAATACACTTGCCTGTTGGGGCTCACTATGCTTTTTATAACCTATTCATTTGATTTTTCGGCACTTGTTATGCCGAAATTCCCATCGCATTTCTTAAAGACCGAGACAGTTTAGATGCTTCACATGTCTTAATCGCGAATTAATAATATGTTGAAATTCATTTTTGTAAATTCGGGTCGAAATGTAAGCCTGCGTATAAAACCCGTTATACGGTAGAATATTTTCCAACGAGATCATGATGACATTTATGTATCTTTCTCTCTCTCCCCTCCCCCCCCCCCTCCTTGGTTGGAAGAGTTTCTGTCTACCCCCAGGCGGTAAAAAGATTATATTAATCACAATCACACAGCGAAAACGAAATTCATGTGAGATCATAATGGTGACCATAACATTTTTCCAAAGACATATCTTTAAAAAACTGTGTTGCAAGTTTGTCCGTCAGCAGTCGACGTTATCGCCGAATTCATGGCATTTGGAGCAGGCTCTACATAGCCGCACCAACTTTGCTATGTGAAAGTATGTATTACTATCAAGAAAAGCAAAGTTCATTATAGGAAAATCTAAACCGTATCTTTTGGTTAAGTAGTAAGTCGTCCCTTTTTGTCAAGTTGTAAGTTGTAAGTAAAGATCGAGAAAGCGCATGAAGTTAAAGAGTCCCTAGTGACCTTGATTTCAAGCTCCGTAGGGTAATAGGATCTTGATAGGCAGCATATCATCGATATATAACGATTGACCTTCATTTTGACGGCTTATACGGTAATATGAACGCAGTTGGCAGCGAACATATTCGTTATAAAGCGGTCCATTTTCGTTGCCAACTGCTTTCATAATACCGTGTGAAAGATTTAAACAGATATAAAAAAAAATGCATGATGAGTTGTTCCGAAAAATAACTGTCTTCTATTTGATCGACTATACCTGCCGTGTAGAATTGGGTTACATCCAAGTTACGTCACGTCCTGAACGTTGGAACTGGGCATGGAAAAGAAGTGTATGCATTGCAGTTAGATGTAACGGTAAACTTAATTTGATAACTATATTTACCTTGAATGTTGCATCCAGATATTGAAAACCAGGTAAACAGAATAACGAGAAAGACTATCGGCCTTTCCCCCTCTATTCGTCCTATTGTTAACCTCCTTCATCATATTCCGTCTTTTCGTATTGCAGAGTTATCTGCTCTTGTGAGCAGGTATTGATTGTTACGTCACTTGTTTGTGAGAGTAACGTCATCAATGTTTGAGAAAACGACGTAATTTTCTCACACAAACCAATGAGGTAACAATCAATACCTGCTCACAAGAGAAGATAACTCTGCAATACGCAAAGACGGAATATGATCCAGGCAAAGTTGAATTGGGCGACACTTCTTGTAATTTATCGAGTTCTTTAATCCGGATTTCATATACAACATTTTCTTGTCAATCATATAACCGGGATTCAAACTGTAGCCTCAAATTGATATACTGTTGTTATTACCAAAAGAGTGGCCTGGTCAATGGACCTTTTTTGGCCGAAAACCGTGAGTTAGAAAATGAAAAGAAGGGGAGGTAATTGTATGTACGAGATACCACAATACCTCTCTAGGGTTTTGCCTACAGCGGAACACGCATCCTTAAACCTACCCACCTTTTCTATAAGTTCGTTAGGGTAAACGTGGTTAAAATGCAATGGGTTCAAGGAAACTTCTTCCAGTGCGTTTACATTTTTTTATAAAGGAAATAAAGAATGTTCAGGACTCCGTAAAGGGGTGAACCTTGCTTTGGTCGATTTCATGCAGTGATAAACAGAGTTTGTCTTGATACAAATGTAATGAACCGCGATGGAAACCAGACGTGGCTTGAAAGGACGAACCGATTTGATATGGCAGTTGGCTGTTCCAATGGACTGCATTTCATATATGACGTGACGCCATGTTTTGAACTGGGGGTAGGGCACTGACACATGAGGCACAATGGGTAGCTGGAGGGAGATTTTCTAGGACAGTACACGAGTTGTCACTACTATTCAACGAAACGTCAGTTACAGTAGTATATTGTTTGTGGATGGTTTGTCGACATTAACGTATTATGTTGTTGTTATCACAACACAAGCGGTCAACACTAACACCGGGTAACAATGAATACGAATGTTAACAATTACAAAATGTCGAAGTTAAAAAGGAATTTTGGCGTAATGGGTCATTTTTTAGCCTCATAAAAAGTAAAAGATTTCAGCTTGAATTTATTTACGAATTTCTGTTAAAAACATCACATTGGTATATTGTGGCTATCTTTTTTGGTGCACATTTTATACAATGCGCATGCGTAGATGCCCTACCATAGCAATAAAATTGCGTTGCTATGCAGAAATAGACGAAATAAGGTGTTTTGGATAGTAAGCATGCAGAAATGAAGGCCTGCGCACGTGACAAACAAAACTTCCTTTTTACGAATAAACACTGGTTTGACAATGTTTAATTGACGAGTCCACCACAAGCTAAAAATGATGATTGAAGTTGACGAATACAGGCTGTGAACAATCGATTTGACAACCGGTAAAGGAGATATGGCATAAAAATAGAGGTACAAGCACACACTTTTCATGATAAAATGCGACAATATCGTGCACTTTTTACATTGAAAATTTTGAAGCAAATTAACTACTTTTCAATGCCTCCGCATGCACCAACCAAACAATTTTAGATGGACATGCTTAAACATTATAAAACCATTATTCATTTACAGAAAGGAAATGCTGTTCACATGCGCAGTCTTTCATTGCTGCATGATAACTGCCCAAAAACACCACGTTAGGACATCGACTGATGGGCAGTGAAAGCATCTGTACCACGAAAGATGCCATTTGACTGTTCATTCGGCTAAATATGACCTATGACGCCCGAAGTCTTTTCTCGTGTGACCGGAAAGGAATAAAATGAACGGAAACTTTGTAAATCGGGACATCTTGCATATTTTATTGACGTCACCACATAAACAATTAGTCTTTTTCACTAACTGGGACAGTCTTCAATAGCTAACGGCCAATTATCCTAACAAATTGTGAAAGGATTATTGAAAATTGCAGCAAAAGTCAGTGATATACCAATTATTTATATATACCAAAGTAGTAGGTTGGTTAACGGCCGAGTAACATTAAAGTCATATCGGATCTGGCAACATTACTAAGTGTTTGGTTAAGTTTTATTTTGTTAACGTCCTATTAATATATAAAGTCATTGAAGGACGTGTCCCAATGTGTGTTGTGTAAGGGTGCGTGGGTGAATGTGTGATGGAGACAGGGTTGGAATATTTGTCATCTTGTGATAGCGCGGATCAGATGCCGACATTATAGTGCTACCTCACGGAAAAACCATGCCGCCCGGTCACATTATACTGACAAGGACTGAACCAGTTGTTGCCATTACCCGTAATGCTGAACGATAAGCAAGGAATAGTAACTACCATTTATAAGGACTTTGGTATGTACCTGCCTGGGGACAGAACCGATTGACTTCCTCCTCTGGGCGAACGCTTAACATTAAAGCCAGAAGTGAGATTTTGCCAAACAAGGCGCTAGGAAAGAAAAGGTAGAATAGACGTAAAAAGAAAGATAAAGATCCTGAATATTGCAATTGGTGCAGTAGATTCATTTTGAATATTTATTCGTCTGGTAGTCGAACTGAAGTGCAAGAATTAGCAGAACAGCAGGCTGCTGCCACCCTTTTGACCTTTTTTGGAACCATCGGTGAAAAGTTGTGTATGAGAAGGGTACTTCAAAATGCACTCCCGAAAGGAGGATTTGTGTTCTTCGGGCATTACCTGGATTTCCCACGCTCATGTAATGTAAAATTTAAATCAGGTGTTTGTATGGTCCATAGCGGAACATCAGATATGTTGAATTCAGCTATGTCAGTCAACTTTATGTTGATATATTGCAGAAAATTTAAAATTCGGATACTGAATGTTGGCAGAGGTTTTTGGTTTTGTGTAAACATGTTTTGGTATTTTGGGTTGAATATTTGGTCAAAAGGGAATTTTTAGGGTTTGATTTTAATTGAGCCGCAAACTATAATGCAAGCTTTATCCTCCGTCATAAA